GAGTCGAAGTACGCTCGCCTGTTCACGGATGACGAGCTGGACGCGATGGAAACATGTGCGCCTGGACAAGAGACTACGGTTCTTGCTGGTGTAAAGGTTGCGGTCGAGACGGAGGAGTATGATAAGGAGCTGGAGGATCGGTTGTTCCCGCTCGACGAAGTTGAACTCAAGAAACGGATGACGACGATTGCTGAGGCCAAGAGGGAGCCGTCTATTGAGGACATGTCGACCTACTTAGGGATTCCTGTGGACGTGTTAGAGCGGACGCGTAAAACTGTTCGTGGCGAAGTGTCTACACCCGAGTACTGGCAAGATTGGTTCAGCTTGACTTTGGAGAAGTCGGCTGAGGCACGGAAGGCTAACCGTGACTTTCGTCAAGCTACTTCGGACAGCGTTGCTAGTCTGGAAGGAGTGGACTGTGCTGATGGTACGGACTCCGACAAGGAATCAGGCTGCGAAGAGGTTTCGATCGCTGCGGGCGATGCTGCGTTGGAGCAGGAAGTGTGTGCGAATATCGTGTTGCCCCTTGAAGATGAGGTGGCTGCGGTAGTTGTAGAGTCGCCTCCTGTTCGACCTGGTCGAAGAGTGATTCGCGGTGAAACCATGAGAGGGATCGCTCGTGAAGCTGTGTATTGGATGCTGAAGGACGCTAAGGACAGTGTTGCGGGAACGGAGAGTGCTACTGTGAGTGCTGAGACTGAGGGTGTACCGCCGTTGCGAGACAAAGTTCCTGAGTTCAGTTTTAAGCGCCTAAAGCTGTTTGCTGACCGTGTGGCTGTCGAGCATGAACTCTTGAAGGACTTATGGACGCTGTTGGAGCATTGGGTGAGCCGATACTACGCTGAGAATGCTGACAGAATTTGGGAACGGTTATGGGATCGAGTGAAACGACCTCCAAGTGTGCCTTCTCATCGAGACAGTCGGCTTCGTCGTTCGCCGTTGTGCTTCGACTGTTCCTCTTTGTACGTTGAGAGTGCCGAGGATGTCGGAGAGGTGAAGTTCCGGCCTGAGTGCGATGAAGATGTCACGCATTATGTTCAGGTTGTTAGGGCCGAGCGTCCCCTCCCGATCCTCCACCTAGGACTGGATTGATGAATATGGTCACGGTGAGTCTGCCGAATGGATTTGGTGTCCGTGACTACGATGAAGACGAGATGTTTGAAATTCCTCGTGTTGTTGAAGGTGGACGGAGAGTTGTGTGCACCGTTGGAAACTTCGAAGCGTTGTCTGGTGGATATATTGATTGTCTACCTTCGCAACTTCTTGCGGATACTGGTGCTACACTAAGTTTGGTTGATCGACGGGTTCTGAAGCGATTAGGACGGTCCAATGAGCCGCTGGAACCGTACGAGGGATATGTGAGGAGTTCTTCTGGTCACCGGTTGCGCATCCGTGGTTGGATACGGTTGCCAGTTTGTCTTGGTTCTATGGAGATTGTGCTGAAGTTACTGGTTACGGAGAAGTTGCACGTTGATGCAGTGTTGGGTGTCGACGCTTTGGGAGCGTTCGGGGCTGTTATTGATGTAGCTGAAAGGCGTATGACTCTGAAAAGTACAGGAGAGACGCTTGAACTGGGTATGGCCGTGGAGCATGAGTCTTTCATGGCTACGATGACTACATCCGTGCGTTTACCTCCGCGTGGACAAGCGTTGGTTATGGCGAACGTGGTTGGTGATATTGGTGATAAGGCTACGGTTATGATTGAGGGTTCTTTGGGTTTGCCGCCTACGTTGTGTGTCGCTCGTTCGTTGTGCACGGTTGAAGACTGCCAGGTGATTGTGGAGGTGTGCAATGCATCTACGGAAGAATGTTGGGTACTGAAAGGAACGGTTGTGGCGTCTACCTCCGTGATTCCTGAGTCGGCGTTTGAGTTTGAGCGAACGAGAGCCAAGGATACTTCGGATACAGAGCCTACGGTGAAAGTTGCGGACGCTCCTGGAGTGGTAAACACGGTTACTGAAGTAGTGGACGAGGGACTCGGTGAGAAGGTGAAGGCGGAGAGGCCTGAGATTCCTCCGGACAAGGGCGGAAGCCTCGAAGCTGACTTCTCGGAGTCGGATCTGTCGTCGGAGCAGAAGTCGCTTTTCCAGTTGGAGCTGGATAGCTTCTGGGATATGTTTGTGGAGTCGTCGAAGAAACCCGGACGGACGGAGCTGTTGCAGTTTGGGATTGATACGGGGGATAGCCCGCCCATCAAGCAACGACCGTACCGAGTGTCACTAGCTGAAGGCGAGGTGATGGAAGCCGAGATCAGTCAGTATCTGGATCTGGGGCTGATCCGTCCCTCCAATAGCCCTTGGGCCAGTCCGGTGTTGATGATTAGGAAGCCTGACGGCGGGATACGGTTCTGCATCGACTACCGTAGACTGAACGCGGTAACCGTGAAAGACTGCTATCCTATGCCTTTGATTGACGATATCCTGGACGTATTGGGAGATGCGCAACTGTTCTCGACGATGGACATTGCGTCCGGATACTGGAACGTACCTATGGAGGAAGAAAGCATTCCGAAGACCGCTTTTACATGCAAGTACGGTCTGTACGAATGGTTGGTTATGCCGTTTGGACTTTGTAACGCAGTGCCTGCGTTTGAGCGGTTGATGGAAACGGTTCTCGTGGATCTCAAGTGGAGGATCTGTTTGGTGTACCTGGATGACTGTGTCATTTTCAGCAAGGATTTCCCGTCGCATCTCGTTCGTGTGCGTCAGGTGCTGACACGGTTGCGTGAAGCTGGGTTTAAGCTTAAGATGAAAAAATGTCATTGGGGACGGAGTCAGGTCGCATTTCTTGGTCATATCGTGACACCAAGCGGCATCCTGCCGAACCCGGAAAAGGTCAAAGCGGTTATGAATGTGAAGCAGCCTGAGGACTTGCACGAGATACGGTCATTTTTGGGGTTAACTAGTTACTTCCGACGGTATATTCCTGGTTATGCGTTGATCTCCGCACCGTTGGAACGGTTGAAGGAGAAGGATGCACCGTTCGTATGGAGTGAAGACTGTGAAATGGCTTTCAGGCAGTTGAAGCGGGCGCTAATGAAGCCGCCGATACTCGTGTATCCTGACGCCAAGAAACGGTTCAAACTGTACGTCGATTCTTCTCGCTATGCGATAGGAGCCTGTCTGATGCAAGAAGTGAACGGTCGTGACCGTGTGGTTGCCTACGCTAGCAAGTTGTTAACGGGATCTCAGAAGAATTGGATCAACAAGCAGGATGGTATATCGGAGATCGAATGTTGGGGTGTGGTGTGGGCTACTCGGAAATTTCGTTGCTATTTGGATAAGCGGGAGTTCGATTTGTACACGGACCACAAGGCTTTGACGTGGGTATTTAGTCCTGGTAACCGTACTTCGAACGCTAAGTTGGCGCGATGGGCTATGGAGCTTTCTAGTCTACAGTTCCAGGTGAATCATAAGCCTGGGACGGCTATGGGTCATGTGGATGGATTGTCGCGGCTGCCGATCGACCGAGTCGATGCGTTGACGATGTCGGACCTGCTGAACCCTGTGGATGGCGGAGATGGCGTGGTTGACGACTCAGTCGGGGAGCAAGAAGGAACGGATGTTAACCGTGAAAGTGGAAATTCTGGGGATAATCGCTCTGGACCTGGTGATGGCACGGTTGAGGGTGAAGACGAGACTCCGACCGAGAATCCTTCGGCCGTGGATGTCTTCGGTCTTGATTTGGAACAGTTCGTAGCGGAACAACAGAAAGTGGCGTGGATACGGGCGCTCGTCGCGTTCTTAAGGGACGGCGCGCTGCCTGTGGATCCGCTCTTGCGTGCTCAAGTCGTGAAGATGGCTCCGAAACATGCAGTGGCGAACGGTTTGTTGATGCGGCGGGTACACCTCCCCGCTAGGGTTGGTCCGGCTCGGTCATTAACCGTACCTGTTGTGCCGATACCGTACATACCTACCGTGCTACACTACTGTCATTCGGACCTGTTGTCGTCACATTTGGGACTGACGAAGACGCTGGAGAAAGTGAGGCGCCATGCATACTGGCCTGGTTGGCGAAAGGATGTCGCTGAGTTTTTACGGGAGTGCAACAAGTGTGGAAGCGGAAAAGGTTCCAGGCCGTGGAGTGCCGGTCAGATGCAACGGATGCCGGTTGCTGATCTGTCTGGACCGTTCTCGCTTTTAGTAGTGGATGCTATCGGACCTTTGCCTGTCACGGACAGTGGCAACCGTTATATTCTCGTGTTTGTCGACTACTTTACGCGGTGGGCTGAAGCGTTCGCGGTCGAGCGCCTGGATTCTGTTACTTTTGTGGACGTGATGGTGAATGGAGTGGTTGCTCGCCATGGTATCCCGTCTCGGCTACTGAGTGACAACGGTACTAACTTCACGTCGGAGGTTGCTAAGTCTTTCTATCAGACGCTTGGGATTAAGAAATTGTATGGGGCTGCGTATCATCCGCAGACACAAGGACTTGTGGAACGGTTTAATGGAACGCTCATTGGAATGCTACGGATGCACGTGAGTGAAGCACAGAGTGATTGGGACGTTTATTTGCCGCGAGTGTTATTTGCTTATCGTACTGCTTATCATGAGGCGCTGGGTGATTCGCCGTTTTTCTCGTTGTACGGTCGTGATCCTACGCTTCCGTTGGATGTCGCGTTTCTAAATCTGGGTAGGAAGTGGAGAAGTAATGAGGTGGCGTTGTATCGTCGAGAGCTATACCGGTCGCTGCGAGAGTCGCGTCACTTGGTCGAGCGCCAACTTGTGAAGGCACAGGACCGGCACGCTCGTCGACTGGAAGGGCAGGTTGAGGTGAATTATGAAGTTGGAGATCCGGTCTGGGTCTACCAGAGTTTCAGGGCTAAGCGTGGGGAGTCAAGGTCGAAGAAATTGGCGTTCTCGTGGCACGGTCCTTACCGCGTCGTGAGTAAGGTGGGGCCGAACACTTACAAGATTGAGGTGCCGTCACAGTCTGGCAAGTTGGCCACGGTGAATGTTAACCGGCTGAAACGCTACCGAGGACGATGAACTCGTCCTTATATGGACGAAGTCCCGGAAGGTATTGGTGATGAAGGTACAGAAGGTCCCCTCGAAGAAGCGGATCTGCCTGTAATTAGTTATGCGGAACGGTTGACAGTTGGTCGTGATGATACGGTTATCGCTGGCGTGGATGCTCCTATCCTGGAAATCGTCGCCAAGCGAGTAGTTGAGCGAGCTGTGGAGTATTTGGCGTTGACTGCGAATTATGAGACTTTTTGGCTCTCGAGGGCCGAGTTGATGCCTGCGTACTCTGATCAGATTGCCGCGTTTGAGCGAGCAGAGAGGAAGAAGAAAGGTCTACCAGCGTTGCGTCGGAGTGCCCGACTGGCTGATGCTAATGCTGAGGTGGATGATGATTACTTGCTGCTGGCGTAGTCCAGGGCAAGGGTGTTCTCGAGTGGAAGTTTGGTACGGTTACTGTGATGAGAATTGCTATTGGACTCGAGAACAGAACGGTTGGAGGAACGGATTACGTGTTAATTTTCATTTGTTTTTGAACTCAACTACGGGGCGCTACAGAAGAACGGCGATATGAAAGAAAAGAACGGTGGAGTAGCGTCCTGGGACTGAATTTGGATCGACAAGTGGCCTCGCTGAGCTTTGGTACGGTTATGACCGGGGTACTTAGCAAGATTTGGCGTGTGTTCGAGAAGGACGGTCGATCACCACGGAAGATGGTCTCCGATGGATATGCCGAGTGGTGCGCACAGATGGAAGAGCTAGAGCAGGTCGAGCGGCTCAGTCAAGAGTTCTGGCGATTGGATGGTGGCCTGCCTACGGAGAAGAAGAAGCCGGTGAGGACGAGAAGTGCCGCGTTGGCTGAGAAGCGCGCGCTACAGGCGAGGATGCGTGAAAGTCGAGCTGCGGAGGCTCGACGAGGACGTCGAGTTTCAGTCGGGGAGGATGTCACGAGTGGGTACGGTGAGAACCGTTCTCCTCGCTCGACTGACATTGCACAACTTCAAGGTGATGAGCTGTGGGAAGAGACGGCGACTGGAGCGACTGCGCGCGCCGGTTTCTATGAGAGTTTGTATTGAGGTGGTGCCAGTCATCAAGAAGGCACCCCTTTGTGCTCTTGCGGTCGTGGCCCTGGTGCCACTGGCACTAAGGGCGCGTGTGATGACCAGGACGGGTGGCGCGGCTGCCTGCGGACGCTTGGGGCGCGTTGGAGCGATGGCCAAGGACGGATGGGGTGTCAGAGCGTCCCCAGCGAAGTGTGGAAGTGTGGCGTGCCAGGATCCCGCGGGAATGCGTTGATTTCGAAGCGTGCGGTGGCGTGGAACGCCGCCGGCGAGTTTGGTAAGGTTAGGAAAAGAAGAATCAGTCGTGAATTAACCCGGAAACCAACAAGTTGAGTCGTTTCATATTGACTTGATTTGTTATTTTCTACTAGCTACCGACTACCAAGCCTTTCGGTCTACAGCTTTCTGATAACGCTTCGTTGCAGTCCCGCCCCATTCCGGGACGACTCGCGACAC